TTGTGAGTGTGTGTGTGTCTTACACATCTTGCTATGTTGCTTTCTAGAGGTTTGCTCTGGGCCTGGGGTGACAGTAGTCCCAGGACAAGGATAATGAAATGAATTGACCTGCTTTCTTGGTGTCGCCAGGTACAACATCCAGGACAAGGACACCTTCTTTGATAATGCTACCCGTAGCCGCATTGTAAGTAAACCGGTTAACCAGGTGCTTAACCAGGTGTGGTGGGCTCGGGAGGGGGAGAGGAAGCCTGAATCCCCTTTGGCAGGGCATCTCTTGCCCTCCCTGCTGCCTCCCATCATCCTTTGCTTGGAGTTGCCTAGCAACTGGAAGGAGCGTCCAGGAGCTTCCCAATCCCAGTATCGAAATAGCCAACTCTTCTCACTCTTGGCCTGAGAGGGGGGGGTCTCCTCTTTATGGTTCTCCACCCACAAAAGCAGGGAATGTCAGAGCTGGGGGGGGGGACTTTCAGCTAGTCAGGTGACCCCCTTGCTTGACAGTTGAGGAAACTGAGGCTCTGAGATGCAACGAATTGAAAAAAAGTTCAGGCAGATCGTTTTGTGTCCAAATGAGGGCTCATTGCTGGGCTGCTGACTTTCTTTCTTTCATTCCCAAAGAAGTCCTGCGCGTTGCTGTCACAAGGGAATGCTAGAGCTGGGCAGTTTGTCCAAGAACAAAATTACCAGCCCGTTCAATAGAAAGCCAACATCTGTGACTGTAGCCATTCTTTTCCTGTCTTTTTGCCTTTTGCAGTCAAGGTTTTGGATTTTGCAGGATGGTTGATTCCAATGAAAATCTGCATAGGGCCTGGGCCCTGCGGCCCCAGTCTGAGCTGTAGGGCATCTCTGTTCACTGATCCATCTATCCCCTCCACCCCTGGAGAGCATCCAGCATATGGACAGAAGAGGGGAGAGAAAAAGGGGCCCAAGGAACTCTGGTCACTTAGGCCACAGTGGAAACATGGCGGTGTGTTTCCATTGATCCCTAGGAAAGAACTTAAGTTTCCACAGGAGGAGGAATAAGCAAGCGTTAGATACCTAGAGGACTTCCAAGTCAGCAGGGTGATGAGAAGGGTAAGAAGGGGCAGGTGATTGGAGGAAGGTACAGAACATTTCCAAGGCACGCTGAAAACACGGCCCTGACGCTTTGCTTGTAGGATGGGCAAGAAAACACCTCAGGTCCCTTGGCCTGGTGTTCTAGGAAGATTTAACACGGGCATATGATTTCTTTTATCTTCCTACAGAAAAAAGCATAAACTTCCCATTGTTTTAGTTGATGCTTTTACAAGCTGTAAGTCTCCCCACAGCTTGGGTCCCACGACTGGGGGGGACGTTATAGGGCATTGTGGAAATTACCCGATAATTGCAAAGTGCTTGTAAAATAATAGACTGCCATATAAATGCTGTTCCTAATTATTATTGCAGTTGGATACTGCACCGTATTAGAAGTGAATTAAACATTCTTGGGCCCCATTCTGCTGGAAGTTATTTATTTACCACTCCCTGTAGGTCTGTGGCTGGAACGTGGGAGTGTGAATGATGATGGAGTAACACATCTTTTCTCGTTCTGGAAGCTTCTTCCTGCCTCTCCTGCCCTTTTCCCAGTCCACCGCACATTGTGATGGGGGGAGAAAAGGGCCTTGGGTTTTGTCTTGGGGTCTGCTCTGCCCTGGGCTTTGGTCTGAGGACCTCGCCTGCATCTCCCTGTGCCCCCTTTCCCGTGGGCATCTGGGCAGCCCAGCTGTCTGTCCCAACACCGACTTCCTTCCTGAAGCCGGGAGCAGGCTTGAGACCCCTTGGAGGGCACTGTTTGGCCTGCAGGTTTACTCTGCCCTGGGTCCCTGCTTCCTTGGCTGGGATGCTCTCAGCACCCCGCCCTCCTGAGTGAGCGACAGGGTCCCTGCAGGCCCCGCAGTCGGGGCTGTTGACCTGTTGATGGCACAGCGGTCACCGAGCAGCAGCCTGCCGTGTGCCCAGGATGCGCTGTGACACTTGGAGTCTTGAGGGTGGGTGGGACCTGCTCTGACTGGGGAGGCATGATAAGGACTTGGGGGGAAAAGCAGAGAAGTGATAGCACCAAGGACCAAGATGTAGGTGGCCCTTTTCTAGTTGCCAAAGCGCTTTCATGGGTCCCCAAAGCAGCTCTGAGAGACAGCTCCATTGCAGGGGGCCCACGGGCCCTCAGGACCTGCAGGGAGCTCGCTCAGGACCCCTCAGCGGCAGGGCACTGTCGGGGCTGGTGGGGCGGGCATGGCCCCGCCTCGCCTTCCCTCCCAGCTTCCTCCTGGGCCCTCCAGAGGGATGTGAGTCTGGGCTCCCCTTCCCTTCTGTAACTGCAGTCAATTTATTTTCTTTATTTTGAAGGGCGGCGTGGCAAATGGGGTGTGTGTGCGTGAGGGGTTAGATGCTTTGTTGGACCATCCGTGAGCTTGGCACATGCGTGCCCGTCCCCGCCCCCCGGGCTGGGGATGCAACATGTGGCCCAGATGCTCACGGTCGAACTGTCGTCTGTTTTAGGTACACGAGATCCTGAAGCGCACCACATGCTCTCGAGCCAACAACATGATGGGTGAGGACCCTCCCACCAGGGGCGGTGCTGACAGGGGCTGGGGGGCCAGGGAGACTGAGAACAAGACAAACAGACGCCCGCATGGAGGGGGCGCCCTGCCTGCCCCCGTTTCTCATGGGGCTGGGGCTGCCCCCCGACCTTCACCCGGGTCTCTGTCCTCCCTCTCCTTTCCCTGGATCCTTGCTGACACCTTTCACTTGATCCCGAAAATTCAGCTCCTCTCCCTTCACAGTCTCCAAAAGGTTTTAATAACCACCCAAATCATGGCAGCTTTTTTTTTTTTTTTTTTTTTTTTTTTTTTTTTTTTTCCACCTGTTCCATACTCTTACCAATGCCAGCCGGCTTGCCTTATTTTCTTAACAGTGTTTTTCAAAGAACAAGTTTTTTATTTTTTGTTTTATTTATTTATTTTTTTAAGGGAGATTGCGATTGACACATATACACTGTTGTTTTTTTTTTTTTTTTTTTTTTTTTTTTTTTTTTTTTTTTGCGGTACGCGGGCCTCTCACCGTTGGCGGCCTCTCCCGTTGCGGAGCACCAGCTCCGGACGCGCAGGCCCAGCGGCCATGGCTCACGGGTCCAGCCGCTCCGCGGCACGTGGGATCCTCCCGGACCAGGGCACGAACCCGTGTCCCCCGCATCGGCAGGCGGACTCTCAACCACTGCGCCCCCAGGGAAGCCCCATGGCAGCTTTTAATTCGTTTGTTTTTAAGAAGAAAGGCATCTTAGAGGCCTTTTAGTCCAAGCCCTTCACTTGATGTCAGAGAAACTGACTCCCAGAGAGGGTGAATTAGTCTGACGGTACCTCTTCTGAGTTCAGCATCCTTTTCACCACTAAACCTGTCTGGCTAAACCTGTTTGCCTTGTGGTTTGGTGTTTGAACCTGGGGGTGTTTGTGTTTGAAGCAGGACCCTCAGTGTTTGGGAGCTTGCAGTATAAGGCAGGCGGTCCGGATGCTGACGGGTGGTGGAGGGGACACAGGCGGGGGTGACACGCTGAGCTTAGGTCCACGCACGGCGTCCTGTCCACACGGTCCCCCTGCAGGTGGAATGCTATCTCCAAAGGGGCTGCTGTCACTCATCACTCAGAACATATCCTGGGCTGACAAACCTTTGGCTTTTGAGGCAGCTTTTAGTTGAAAAGAGTCATTGAGAGGCAAGTCTAGGGAATAAAGTAGGCCGTCAAGCTGAGGAACAATAACCACGGTGGCAGTAATAATAGCTAACGTTGGAGAGTTTATGTGGGGTCCATATGCTGCCTGAGGACTGAGGGAAGGGGTTGAAGAGGGAATCAGAGCAGGTGCTGTGTAGTGACAGTATCATTAGAACAGTGCGGGACCTCTCAAGGGGGCGACTGTATATGACTCTGCTTTGACGTAGTCACGTCACGACAGAATTTTAAATACCACTCCAGTGTTAAAAAAATCAAATCTTCTATATGGTGTTGTTTGTCTGGAGCACGGTGCTGATGAGACGAGACTCTGAGCGAGTGAGGCGATGCACTGGCCCCTCAGCCCCGTGGGATGGACCGAAGCCCTCACTTTGAGCACTTGTAACCGGGGACCACCCGAGGCGTCAAGAGGTCTGAGAATGTAGTTTGTGTTTTCCCATGGCCTCTGTCAAAGTTCTGGAACTTACCCTCACTTCTAGTCCAGTTCACTCCTCGGTTCCAGTAATCTGCCTTTTATTCACTCACACCCTCCTTGGTTGGACCAAAACTGCTCCCTTGGGTGTCACAGGTGACTGCGTCCTGCCCACGTTGCACGGCTTTTTCCTCCGTCTTCGTCTTCCTGTGTCCTTCCAGACCCTGTCACCGTACCCAGGGAGGATCCTGCTTCTCCTTTCTGGACCACACTTGATTTGCTTACTCTTCCTCCTCCCCCGTTTTCAAGGCTGTCTTCTCCACGCTCCCTTGGCCTCCTGACTCTCACTCTGCACAGAAGACGTGTAGCCGTGAATTTCTGTTTCCCACTTCCCTCCCCCATGGCACACCAGCCTTTCCCGCGGCCAGCTGGATACCTCCACTGAGATATTCCCAGAACCTTGAAATCAACGTCTGGCTGTGCCCATTTCCATCTCATTCCTCTCTCACCCTGTCCATCTCTCCTGCCTTTCTTCCTGTTAATGTGACTGCTGCCCTCTCTGGTTTCATGCCTGCTGTTCCCTTTGCTGGGATGTCCTTCCCCACGTCTCACCCAGGCCCACCCCCAGACAGAATACCTCTGTCCCCCAGGTTCTCCCTTGATGCCCTCTCCTCGGAACTCCCATCAGGTTTGATGTCTGTCTTGGTGATTATCTGTGTCTGTGGCTTAGACCCCAGAGACAGTCCTTGAGACGTGTCTGGATCATCTTTTATCCCCCAGTGCACTTGGCTGGCTGCCCTGCACGTTCTACTCAGTCGATTTGCTTTAGTGAATTAATCAAACGTGCTCAGCCGGCTAGTGTCATAGCAGTAGCTGGTGAGTTCCCTGTGATGTGTGTTTGTGGACAAATGACTTCTCTCCAACCCAGTTTTCCCTTTTAGGTAAGAATTATGTGTTTTGGAGAGTTTTTGTAAAGATTAAATGGGAAACTGTTTGTTTTGTAAACTGGGAATTCTTTAAAAACTAAAGTTTGTCTTGAGGGACAGCCTCCAGATTGTTGAAAAGTCATTAGAGAGCCTCTGCTTTAAGACAGCAGTTTTTTTCCCTTTGAGGATCTGTTTGTTTGTTTGTTTTCCGATGTCACAAAGTCAGACATCTTAAGGATTTTGTTGTTGAGTGGTTTTCAAAAATTTCTTTCTTTTTTGACATTCAGAAAACATTTATTGAGCACCTGCTATGTGTCAAATGATGTTCTAGAAACTGAGAGATGGCAGGATGAATTTGACCTACTTTCTGTTCTTGCGGGGCTCTTAGTTTAGCCACGTGGACAGACACGTAAACAGATAATTATGAGATAATCTGGTAGGTATGCTATTAGAAGTGTACAGAGAGCAAAGGGAGCACAGATTCAGAGCAGCCAACTCCCATGGATGCATCTAAGTATCATCATAAGTTATCCAGCGTTAGCTTCATGACTCCCCGGGAAGGTAGGTGTGTCAGGAATTATCATCTCCAGTTACCAAGGTGCACAGGCAGGAGGGGTGTCTTTTCCAGAGCCGCATACTGAGGCACTGTTAGAACTGGGTCTAGAACCTGGGTTCCCTCCTCCCATCCTACTTCCTCTGCCTTTGGGATGCAGGGGACTCAGCGTGGTGTTTGGCTGAGTCTTTCTGAAAGGGCTGTTGGTTCCACAGTAATTGCTGATGATTTACTAGCTCCTAACAAGGGACTCAACTCTGCTTCCCAGGAGAGGAGAATGCTGAAGGGCGATTCTCAAGGTCCTTTGACTTCCGCCTGGGAAAATACAGGGCCCTTTAAGCTTTTTGGCCAACTTACCATCTTACTTAGAAGATCAGAAAGAGTGAGGGACGTGATAACGTTGTGAGGCCTCAGGATAATACGGACCTTTGAGCCATGGGTAACTTTTGATTTATTGCCCTTCTCTCTGGTTTTATAGAGAAACACACATGGGCTGAGAATTGGCTTAGATTTCCTCCAGAGGAGGGGTGCCTCTTAAAAATAAAAGAAAAAGGAAGAACAGGACTGTGTGTGGAATTGTTTTCCAAGGCATTTTCATTGATCCTTCAGCCTTGGAATTGCCTTTTATGTGGCCGTTACTTTTGTGACCAGATTACAAAGCTTTATTCCCTTTCTCATTGTCTTCAATTACAGTGGAAATTAGAAGATGGAAAAGATGGTAAAGATGAGAAATAGAAGATGGAAAAATAAAACTAAAGATAATAATAATTCAGAATCACTCCCGTTTATCTGGTATTATCACTTTCTTCTTTGTAGAAAATACATTTTTTTGAATGCCTACTTTGCAAAGCATTATGCTGCACACAAGATGTATGTATTGATTTATTTATAGTCCCGTCTTGTTCCACAAAATTTCTGAGGTGACTAACAAGAAAAACAATAAAACAGCATAATATAAATAATAAATAAAGAAATAAGAAACAGGAGAAACACAAATTAAAATAGAATGTTGAAACTAGGAGGAAAAAACAGACTACAGGGCTTCCCTGGTGGCTCAGTGGTTGAGAGTCCGCCTGCCGATGCAGGGGACACGGGTTCGCGCCCCAGTCCGGGAAGATCCCACATGCCGCGGAGCGGCTGGGCCCGTGAGCCATGGCCGCTGAGCCTGCGCGCCCGGAGCCTGTGCTCCGCAACGGGGAGAGGCCACAACAGTGAGAGGCCCGCATACCGCAAAAAAAAAAAAATAGACCACAGATGCAAACCATACGGCCCTCTGGCTTCTGCAGTTGGCCTGCAAATTTGACCTTGAACCGAAGTGAGAGGGGAATACAGTCAGTGGTGTAGCACTTGATGTCCTCAGCAACATCTTTTTATATAGAATTTTTTCTAAAGTCTCTCTGAAATTCCCTGCTTTCTTATATAGAACATACCAACATATGGTCTCTATATAAAGGCATACGTAAGCTTTTCTGTAGGATTCAGGATTATCCTTGAGAATGTAAGGTTATTCAAGTTTCCTCCAGGATTTACCTAAGTTATTATTAGGGCTGCTTGCCCCACAGTCTCTGATGTTTTTGAATTCTTGACTCTGGTGGGCTCCCTCCCTGAGTTTTGCTATTTCGAGGTTTGCCGTGCTATTTAGGACATAGGAAAACAAACTCATTAGAATTTGGGGTAAAGAGAGAGCGAAAAGGCATTGCAGAAGGATCCGGAGGATTCTGCTGTGGCTAGGTACGTAACCTTAGGGAATCGGTTGCCTGAGATTGAGATACTTTATCTTCTGGGTTCTCTTTTGTGAGAGCTGAGATGACCAGATAAGAGATCTCTGTACACATGAGGTCTTCCTGTAACCGAGACGGTAAGGACCCCTTGCATGTGTGTCGTCGTGTGCTTTGCAAAGCACTTTCACTCTCTGTAGTCTCCTTTGATCCTTTAACTC